AAAACATGAACGTTTAATAATGACCAATTGGGGAAATACATATACCTTTTTATGTTCCAAAGATTATTTATTTATTTGAAAGCGTAACAGAGACAGGGGAGAGACAGAAAGATCTTCCATGTACTGGCTCGTTCCCCAGATGGTCACAATGGCTGGGGCTGGGTTGGGCTAGACTATAACAAGAAAGTCTACAGTCAATATTAGATAAATCACAGCCAGAGGACCGTGGCCTCCTACATCACAGAGTCTGGGTTTCATTCTTAGTTCTGGCTTTTGACTCCACTTGCACCTGAATACCAGCACTGTGAGATAGTAGAGGTGTATCAAGTAACTGGGTACCTGGCACCGACTTGGAAGATCTGGATGGTGAACTTGCCCCTGGCACTGGTTTGGCTTTGGACTTGTGCACCTTTGGAAAGTAAATTAATGAATGAGAGCTCTCCATTTTACATTCTTAGCATCTTATTTAACTCTCTGTGGTAAATTTTCTATTTTTCTTGCTGTTGTTGATTTTGTTTTATGATTTTTCATTTAAAGAGACTTACTAGTAACTGTATAATAGAGACTTTCATAGCCAGATTTGAAGCTACAATGCACTATGCATCTCTACCTCCAAATGAAAGATGGATTCCTAATGAAACAGTTAAATGTATCTTGACTGTAAGATGCTGGGCTCTCTGTCATTGTCCATACTTACAATATCAGCAGAACAACTGACTTATGACTGTTTATGAAGGACTATACTATTTTAATAAAATAGAAGGAATAGGGGGGTGGAATTTGAGGAGATGGGAAGAGAAATCCCAGCACCTGTGGAACCGTATCATAAAAGAATAAATTCAAAAAATAATAAAAGAATAAAAATATAATTTTAAAAAACACATGTAGCCAATACAGTGTATATTTAAAAATATGCAATGTCAAGCGGAAAACTAAACCTTTTACTGTTTTTTATATAGGGGAAATCTCCACTGAGTCATACCTATTTATCTTAAGAAAAATGAATGGAGAGAAAAGGTGGCATTTGTGGCCTGGAAGAGTGTGCTCTACACCATATGATCAGCTTTAATCAATGGCCAACAATATATCTAGGGCATTTATATGATGGAATTACATGCTGTGTTTTTCATCATCTTATACAGTAGTTAGTGAAGAGCGGCACTGCGGTTGAAAAGAATCAATATTGGACATAAATAAAGAAGTAATAAAGCTATTTCGTTTCCCCCTATTTTCTATAAAGATGAAAAATAGCTTGAGATAAGGAATTCTCTAAAGGATTTGGAACATAAAAGGAGTCCACACTGCTTTTCACTGTATAGATTTAATGCTTGTAACGTGGACAGAAGAGCATCTCACTTGAATATCACACACGGAGATCAAGTGATTCATTGGTTCAAGATAAACACCGGAACTGATGCATTTTGTGTGTATTCAATAGTTACAAAATTATATCTGTATTTGATTCACATATCTATACATGTGCTCCAAATACCTGTTAGAAGAGTTCACACTTTATACATTTCTATTTCTTATATTACCTTACATGAATGCAAAAAAATTTACTCATCGCATTTAATTTATATGCTTCTATAACTAAGTAATCTGCTATCATGCCTTTTTAAAATTGGCTTTCAGCTTTGTCTTGCTGTGATTATGAGACTGTCCAAATTCTAAACCAATGACTGATCTCTCTACACTGTTTTCAATTTTAGTATATGAAAATTCCCATTTTCAATAAATTTTTAGTTGAGCAAGTATCTATTTAACAAAGATGTGTGTTTCCATGAAAGTGCAGACTTTAAATCCATCTCCACCCCCCAAAAAAAGAAACTGTCTCTAGTATGAGCTTTTTAGAATTCTTCTGCCACCTAGTTCTCTTGCGATTAGTCTATACTAGGCTGTGGGTAGAGGGAGAGGACATGAAACCTGGACTTGCAACTCCTGGCTGCATGCCTCAGTGAAGGGGATCCGTGACTATTTCACTTCTCACACACTTCACAACACCCTGCTGATTACCAGAAATGGGAGGTTAGCTTTTCTTCACAAGGTTGGATTATGTAAATGCCAAGTCTGCAAGTAAGGGCACTACTTTGCCTGCACTGGAAATGAATTCACACTGGGAGCACTTGCATTTTTAGACAAATGCAAATGAAATCAGCAGGGCAGGGGGCCTATGTTGGAGCTCAGCACCCAAAACCACCTTTTGTGATACTGGTAACTCACAGGAGCTGTGGTTCAAGCCCCAGCTTCTCTATTGCAGAACCAGCCCCCAGATAATGTGCCTGGGAAAGCAGAAGATGATCCAAGCCTTTGGGTTCTTGCTACCCATATAGGAGACCTGACTGGAGGTCCAGGCTTCTGGCTTTTCTTGTCTTATTCCTAGCTGTTGTGGACACTGAGCAAGTGACCTAGTGGGTGGAAGATCTCACTATCTTTGTTCCACTCCACCATCCAAATGAACTTCCATAAAATAAAATCAGAAAGGGAGGACTGTTGTTTCATGTCATCTGCAGCGCTTGAGGAAACACAAAGCCCTTTCTTGACAGAGCAGCTCACATAACCTTGCTAAGGAACACAGGTAAGTTAGTGCAGAAGCCCCAGGGGATAGGCAGGTGGTGATGATGATGTGTCCTTGAGAAGAAATTTGTCTGCAGTCACTGAGCTCCCACCTGCACAGCTACTGATCAAATCATGACATTTATAAAGTCAATGACCATTCTGCTATTGATGCTTCCCCAAACCCACCTGCCTTCTTAACCCTGGAGAACAGAGAGTACCCAAAGCTTTGTAAAAAGAGGCCCTGGGTGTGAACAACCGTACTATACTTTGAACCCTGGCTATTTGATACTCTATCATGCTATTCTGTAAAAGTGCAGTATCCGGTAAAACAGCCTACACAATGTACAGGAGGTCCAACAGCCTCTGTCTGGCCAGCAGAAATGACAAAACAAATTATAAATGTCTGAATGACATGCCCTTGAGCATACAGATGCTATCAAAAATATACATTTTCATGTGCCTAAACCTTGCTTCCTCTGCACAATCTGTGTGCCGAGTTGAGGTCCAGATGTAATATTTTAAATTGTACAGGTAAAAACATGCATAGCTATTGTGTCTTAATTCCTCATACTACCAATTAAGAAATTCAGCCCTAAAGTATGAATGTTTCTCTGCAAATCTCTAAAACTCACTATTAATAAGATGATAGAGCAGAAAAATTAGAAGAGAGTTCATTTGATTTTTTTCTTGCAAAGGCTGGCCTTAGTGAGAAAATTTATCTGCATTTCAATTCTAACACATTGTGAATGATAAATGAACTCTATTGCAGAAAGGACATGACATTGCTATGCCTTAGATTTTTTAAGCTCTTTCATCAGAATACTATACCTGGCAAAGTTCAGAGCTCAGTGCTTGTCCTTTTATAAGAAACAGGGAAAAAGTGAAAAACACCACTCCAAAGAACCCAAGTTCAGGGTATGATTCAAATAAGTAAAAAGAAACAATCTGCGAGGCACTAGGCCAGACAGGAGTCTGCTTCCCGTTTTGGTTTCTGACACATGGGTCTGCTCTGGTTTATTCTAAACAGAAAGAACAATGGGAAAGCTATTTTACCTTGCTTTCATCATCAGATTCAGTGACCGCAGGACCAGTGGTGAAAAGAGATTTGCCCCAAGAGAATACCAGAGGGAAACACACTGCCCGCCCTCACTTCCCCCAAGACCTTTCTGCACGTTTTCTGTATTATTTGAAGAATAGTCTTCTTATTCAGACAACCTCCCGCATGATCCTGCACAGCAAGGGCTTACCTGATGGGTGATAAATGCTGAATGGATACTGCTAAGGGGAGAGCTTGAGTCAGAGGGGGGAATGATGCTCGCATGCTTTTACAGTTGCCACAGGAAAAGTGAATTTACTGTCACTGGTTACTTTTTGAACTTGAGGAACATGGTGACTAAATCTTTCATTTTCTGTGAGATGAATAAATCTGCTAAGTACAAGACAGAGGAAGAAACAATAAATTTATAGAAAACAAAATGTGAGAGGGATTGACCCTCAGAATTCAAACAGCATAAAGTGTGGAATGTTCTAGGAAGGTTGTTTACCATTTGATTTTGGCTCCAACCAATAATGGTATTTTCTGAGTAACATAACACTACATTTAAAACTTAAGCACTGCTAGCATTAAAAATAACTTAGGAATCAATGTTCTGTTATATGTAAGTATTTGACTTTGGTATGTGTATCAACAAAAGACATTCAAATACTACAAATCCTAGGATACAATGCTAATGGGGGTTTGACTGGTGAGAACCTCAGGATGCTTGCCATCACAAAGCAGGGAAGAGAGTGTCATAGAGGAAATGGGGTGGCATAATTCGTTTTTCATAACCACAATGCTCCCAAAACTATATCAGAGGTCTAATTCCTTCCAAAGGTATGCTTGCAATGACCCCAAGATCGTTCATTGGGCCCCAGCTTTCAAAGGGTCCACTCTGTCCATAGCAGCAACCGGAAGCCAAACCTCTACCATGAGGACCTATGGGGGAGAAACCACAGTGTCACATCAAAGTGGGGAGAAAATCTTACTTTGTATAAGAGATCAATTATTAACACTAATTTGCTTATATCAGATAAAGATGCAGAGAAAACTGCAGTCTTTGATGTTCCTAAAACATAAAACAATAAACCAGCAAAAGGTTTACTCAGAAAAAAAGTCAACAAACTGGCCCATTGTCAATTATGATACAATGAACACATAGAAAAAAATGCATTACAAGGGTCTAAGAGTAAAAATTTCCATTTTCATGGTGATTATTTAGCCAAAAAAGAAAGAATTTTCTATAAGATTTGACAAGACAACTGCTGAAATTAAAAAAAAAAAAGAAACAAAACCAAAAAACCAAAAAACAGATCCATAAAAATATATGTTAGAAAATGTTGCATTGTTTCATTAAGGTCATCTATATTGTGATATAAAGAAAGCAACAAAAACATCTGAATTATATTTGGAATTCAATCTTTTTATTTATTTTATTTTATTCTTGCATGTACTTACGTAGTTCTTATCTTACAACAGACATGTATATTTTCTTGCTGTGTTTTGGGGGGTAACAGTGTGACAAGAGCAATTAACTGACCTTACATGGTAAAATTACAACTTAAGACTGCGAACTCTAAACAATGTCTCAGCAAAACCAATCAATATATAATGAAAATATAGTACAATAGCAAACAGTTATTCTAGTCTTTGAAGTGTTCCCACACAGGATACAATGAAAAGAAAATAAGTTCCAAGCATTCATCGACTTCTTGTCATTAAAAAAAAAAAAGCCTCTGACAAAGAAACACTATATCTCTTCATGCATAACCAACGGAAAGGTAAGAAACTATAAACAAGAATATAAAACTCCATGGCTGCACACAGTGTGTTATCAGTAACATGTACAGCACCCAGATAAAGGAAGCGCTAATATACAAATACATTCCGCCATGGTTGAAGCCACAAAAACAGATACTACTAGCATTTTTCAGAATGTAGCATCATCAATTTCCTTTTAGGAAATTAAAGTACCATTCCATTTGGAAGTTTAAGTAAATAATTCTTTTCATATCTAAACATTCAATGCTTTATTAAAGAAAAACTTGAAGGATGGTGATTCATAATAGATCTAGCAATAAAAAGCAAGTATCTGTTCTTATCTCTTCCATCACTGAAGTTTTAGCGAATGACTTCCAAACCCTTCTTATTTAATCATGAATAGTAAGTGTGCAAACAAACAAACAAGCAAACAAACAAACAAAATAAACCAAGCAGTAAGTATAAATGTGAAGGGAGAAATCAGCCATTTCACAAAATGACACTTAATATTTTATAAATGGGACATAATTTCTCAGTGAAGAATGAGTTGTATTCGAGCGATTTCAGATCAGAGCCAGTTAATCGCAAGGACGGGAGATATCATGAAAGAGCATCCCAGTGGCCGAGACAGCTAATGCAGGTTCTAAAAGTGCTCATGTTTACATCTGGAGAGTGGCATAGCTCTCTGAATCAGCAGAATTCAAAATTTCGAATGGCATGAAAGGACAGAAATGCCATTAACCTGCACTCCCTTTTGTGTATCCTGCACGCATGAGTATTTGTGCGGAAGTTACCAAAGTTGACATAGGGCAATGGTAACATCCATTCTAAATCAATCCTATGGTGGTACAGCAAAATAAACATTAGAAAATTCTGCAAATTTATTTTTATAGGTTGAAAGTAAAATACCTTTTGAAAACTGCCACACTGACTATTTTAGGCTCTCTACCAAAATGCTAAGTGAACAACACTTCGGCAAAATGAGGCAGGATTGAGTTTTTATATACTGGATTTTATGCTGTCTTTGATGTAATCAATTATTAATTTTTCTAGTTTCACTACATATTTAGTATGGTATACTAAACATGATAAGCATAATTCCAAAAACAAAGACAATATTGGCATCTTATAAGTCAGATTATGAAACAATAAACAACTAAGGGTAGGAAATCTCATCTTAAAAATATACTTTATATGTCATCAAAGGAAAGGACAATATATGACAAAGCAGTCAAATTTGACCTTAAATGAATCAATACTTCTCCAGGGAGGTAAAATAATTTTGAGACCCTTCACACTGTATTTTATGCAATAAACTTGGTTATTGGGACAGCTTGAAGTATAGCCTAGAATTCCTAAAATTTTGAACACACTCCTTTAACTTGTTAAAGAAAAGTTTGATACATTTGCATGAACTAATACTGAATTTCACACAATGATGCTGTGGCTAGTAATCGCATTTTGAAAAGCATACATAATAATATAGGTAACTGTGAGAATCAGAAAACCAAACACAAATCTGTTCCAGGTAGAACTGAAATCGGGTCTCTTCAGTTGGGCAGGTCCACATTCTGAAGGATGAGGGACACTCGGCTTGGAATGTACACCTAAGTCAAAACAAGAGCATTAGCACAGTACAAACAAGAGGAGGATGCTCAGTCTTTATGTCAAAGGGACCTGGGAATGCTGCAGCCTCACACTAGTCACAATGACTGTGATTACAATCCTGCCAGTGCCCTCAGTTCCAACAGTTTTGGCAGCTTTAAGATAATTTTAAATCATTAACCACTAGAGGGCTCCATATGATTTACAAAAACCAGTGTCCCCCTAACATAAAGGACTTAAACATAGCACTCTGAACACACTGAACTGCTTACACACTATACTGAGGTGAAGGAAGGCCACCCTAACAGTTTACAATATCACAGTCAGATAAACAAGTCAAAATACAAAGCAATATTTTACTTTGAAATGATTTAATGTAGAAGCCGTTTTCTCCTCACTGGCATTTTTAAATGTGAAAACAAATCAAAACAAAACAAAAACCAAACCAAATCAAACAAAACCAAACCTGAAACATAATACAAGGGATACTAAGTGCATTCGAGGCCTTGCTTCAATTTAAACTACCCAAGAGGCTTGCCACACATCAAAATTGACCTGCGCGGAGTCACTCCTCCTTAGCATCCACTGCTGCCTCCACTGTGCGCTTCAAACACAGGCTCCACCCACTAGCGCCTTCCAATTCCTTCTTCTAGGTTTTCAATGTGCCTGACTGGTTCCTTACCTCTCGGGTCCAGAAAAATCCTATCTTCATGGAAAAGCTTTCCTAATGACCAAATAATAGGCTCCTAGGGACTGGTTCTTCACTATCTTTTTAAATTCCAGCATGCTTTTTTTAAAAATTTCTAAACACATCACAATTAATTATTTTTTCACATTTATGGTATATCCTTCCTACTAAAGTACGAAATTTATGCACATTTTCTCATCTCTAACTCTTCGTAAGTGCCATTAGAGAAAGCAGGTGCCAATGGTAATCAAATAAATGAAAAAAACAACTTGAACAAAGGTAAACTTCTTATCAATATATGCATATTTTACATGATATTCTCTACTATGCTTATACCTAAAATAACATGTGAAGCTTAAATGTGATTTCAACTAACACTGCTTCTCTTCATACTATTTTAAGGACATTATAAAACAAACTGAAAATATTATAACATTGGCATTATGAAAATCTCTGCATTTATGATTTTGCTAATAATTATTGCCAGTTTCTTTATGTCTTAGTGAAAGACCGATTGGTGGATAAAAATTAAAAAGCAAAGGCCTTTCATAATTTAGGAAAGTTCAAAGCAAACTTGGCTTTAAAAGGGGAGGAGAGACTACGACAGTTCATTTTTATCAAATGACATTTTCAATGTCCAATGTTTCTTAACTCTTCCAATGATCTCAGTGACTTTCATTAAGAATCCCTGCAACAAACCTAAGTTAATCAAATGAATTAGATAAATATAACTGGTTTTGAACATCAAATATTAAAACATTTTTAAATGGTGGCACTTGAAAAAATTATTTTATGAATGTAATGGCCACAGTTTTCTTGATCTTTAATTGAAATAATAGTGACTTAGAAAATGATGTTTATTTCAGAAAAATATCAAAGGCAGTCACACACTATACAGCTCTATGTCTCTTCATCTGACTTGTGATCTAGTTTTCAGGGAAAAAAAAGCAAAAAAAAACACTTTTGCATTAATGTAGTACTTAAGTGTGAGGAAAGCACATTTCAATGGCACTGTGTGCTTCCCTATTATTTTTAGATTGTATTTAATAATTTACAATTTTTCAATCACCTAGGAATTTAGCTATGGATCCAATCCCTCTTATGTCAAGATTTTGCCATTGACTGTTACATGAGATATTACAGCGTTGGTACACAAAAGGAAGGTAGAGGCATTATTTGTGAAAGCAGGACTAAAATGAAGGACCCAGAAAGATCCAGTCCAAAGGGTGATGTATTTCCCCATGAAGCCACAGAAAAAAGTAACATCAACCAATGCAAAGGAGATATACAATAAGTCACCAATACGAGTCAACTCATTGACTGTCACATCTTTTGCAGCAGTCATGAAAGCAGACCGTGATTGGTCCCTTGAAACTTCTATATTTACATTTGACAATCACAGTCACTTTGTTTAAATATTCAGTAGAACAGAGAATCACAATCAGAATGGTACAGAACAGTTTTACCCACCATGAACAAGCTAAGAGTAAAGTTCAACAGACATTTCTCCCTAGCTCCAGGAACTAGACAGAAGAATTTCAGTTCCCTCTGCACTAAAAATATCTCTGATATGATAGCATCTTTTCATGCAGGTCAGAGGACACAGATAATTCTGAAGCTCCTAGGAAAGTTGTAATGACACACATTACTCAGGCCTAGGGCAAATAACCACAGACTACTCTGAGTATGTGACGTAATGGAATGTCATTACAATTCAAGTTAGCCTCCTGTTTGAAATTTACCCAATTGTGCTGCCTACTGTTTGATTTACAATCTTGTAGTAACTTACTATACATTAATGATAAATTTAGAGTGGTAATTTAGAATTTGACCTACTGCCTTTATGTTATATGAACCTCAAGTTTTTCTTTTTAAAGATTTATTTTTATTATTTTTTTTTAATTGGAAAAGCGGATATACAGAGAGGAAGATCTTCTATCCGATGATTCACTCCCCAAGTGAGCACAACGGCCTATTCTATGCTGATCCGAAGCCAGGAGACTCTTCTGGGTCTCCCACGCGGGTGGAGGGTCCCAAAGCTTTGGGCCGTCCTCGACTGCTTTCCCAGGCCACAGGCAGGGAGCTGGAAGGGAAGCGGGGCTGCCAGGATAGAACCAGCGCCCATATGGGATCCCGGGCGTGCAAGGCGAGGACCTTAACCACTGCATCACCACGCCGGGCCCTGAACCTCAAGTTTTGATATGTATATCTGAAATTGCCTGTTCTGGAAATTTATGATTTTTTAAAATAGCTCAAATATACAAAACAATTTATATAATATAGAAACAGCTTTATGATGTCAAAGTATGTTATACTCAGAGATCTCCTAACACTATTTACAAAAAAAGTCTTCAGTTGCCAATTGTATACTATTGACAGGAATACTGTGGGATTGCACAATGTTTTAAAGATTTGTTTATTTTATTGCAAAGCTAGATATACAGAAAGGAGGAGAGACAGAGAGGAAGATCTTCCATCCAATGATTCACTCCCCAAGTGAGCACAACGGCCAGAGCTGAGCCGATCTGAAGTCAGGAGCCAGGAGCTTGATCCAGGTCTCCCATGTGGATGCAGGGTCCCAAGGCTTTGTGTCATCCTTGACTGCTTTCCCAGGCTACAAGCAGGGAGCTGGATGGGAAGTGGGACTGGCGAGATTAGAAATGGTATCTATATGTGACCCCAGTGCATGCAATGTGCCACTAGGCCATCACACCAGGCCCCTGGGATTATAATTTTAAGATTTGTTTATTTAAAAATCAGAGTGACAAAAGAGGTGAAAAAGGAAGAGAGGAGAGAAATGCACAGAGAAAAAGAGAGAAATAGAGAGTGAGAGAGAGACAAGGCTGGACCAGTCTTAGGTCAAGATCCTGGAATTCCATCTGTCAGCCCTTGGAGTTACACCATGGAGTAACTGGAATTCCATCTGTCAGCCCTTGGAGTTAAACACCATGTTAAGCAGCAGAGTTTGCAGCCGGGCTATGGTGGCAGAAAAAAAAAAAATTAAGCCCTCACTTGACATATCTGCATCCCCTTACAGAGTGAAGGTTCAGGTCCAAGCCGCTTGTTTCCAATCCCTCTACCTCCTAATGCACCCAGGAAGGTAGAAGATGGTGGCCTAACTACTTGGGTCATTGCTGCCCACTCGGAAGACCCAGATGGAGCTGTGAGCACTAGGCTTTGGCCTGGCTTAGATTTTGGGTATGAGCCAATGAACAAAAGATCTTTATTCTCTGTAACTTCTTCTGTTGTTCTGCTTACCAGCAAAAATTTTTAAAAAGCAATAGAACTACCACAATATTGATATTGTTTTGCATCCAGCATAGTATAGGCAACGCAAAATAATTTCACAATAATGTTTCTTTAACACTGGATAGTTATTGAGTTTTGAATTTCCTTCCTTATTAGAGTTCTGAGTACATAAGTCAATTTCTTTAGTGGTTAGCAAATGACTACCAATTATACTAAAGAACATATGATAATCAGAACTAATTCTTATGATGAGATAATTATAGACACAAACAAATTAGACCTCTAAAATTTAGTGCTATTAGCTGCATAATTTCCATTTTTTAAATTTTAGTTCAGAAATAGTTTGGTCGTAACCATACTAAGCATTAGCCATGTAATTCTCTTGCTGAGTATGAACTATATGCTTCTTAAATTATAATTTTAAAACAAGAATAGTTTTGAGGCTGGGCATTCGGTGAAGCAGCTAAGACATCACCTTGGATGCTGACATCACCTATCACCTGAATTCAAATCCTGCCTCTGCTTCCAATTTTAGTTTCTTGCTATTGTGGATATTATTCACATTTGAGAAATGGTCAGCAGATGTTGAACAGGACTTGTCTCCCTCATAACTTATGTAGCAGATTAAACTCTGACATCCAATGCTAATGGTCGATGGGTTAACACAGACACACACATGGAGATTCCACTTAACTCCAATGGGCAATACAATCTGCTAGTGTGGATGTGAGGGAAAAAGTTAGTGTTAGTGCAGGCTGGTACAAAAATTATGGAAGTCACTCTAGGTTGCTCAGAGAACTAAAAATTGACCATATGACCCAACTGTCCCACTTCCCGGAATATATCCAAAAGAAATCTGCATGGGAGAAAGTGATCTGTAATCCTATATTGACAACAGCAAGCTATACAATAGTGAAGATATGGGAACAACCCTGATGCTGAATGATGGACTTGTGACTGTTGTTGAAGGACTATACTATTGTAATAACATAGGAGAAACAGTGTGTGCGTGGGAAGCGTAAAGGGAAAAATCCCTGAGCCTATGGAACTATATCATGAAAGACA